GGATCATAAAAGAATCTGTGAGCCGGATTGTCTGAATCAGAAAGTCTCGAAGGAACCGGTTCTTATGACCACGGCACTGAACCACGTGGTTTATTGAAAGGCGGAAAATTTGTTGATCAGCTGAGCGGACGTCTGCTTCTCAGTATCAATTTAGTTTGAATATACCTATCACATGCTATAACATTGTCACGTATGTGTGTGACTATAGACGTACTGATGAAAGGATTTATTGACCAGTTATACACACGACTGCCGATCACAGTGGCCGCGCGGTCTAAGGAATGAAATTGTCTTCGCTCGCTCGAACGCTGGGGTAATGGGTTCGAATCCCACTCAAGGTATGGATGTTTGCGTGTGCATTTATTCTGCGTGTGTGTTGCCCTGCGTAGGTAGCGGCCTTGCGACGGGCTGATCCACCGTCCAAGGAGTCCTGCCGTCTGTGTAAGAATGATTAAGAAACTGATGTGAAACGAAGCGTTTCACAGATGCCCTATGCTCTATAGGAAGCAAGAGGAATATTAATGAATGATTATACACACGACTCGGAACTAGAAACAATTACCCGCTAAGCCCTTTCTTCCGGCCTGCTGTGTCTTTACCAGCCGTTCCCTGGCAGTGGCTTCTAATAGTAGAGATTCTTCAGTTTCGCGGGCTCAGGTTCTTTCTTCACAGCCTCCCATGCAGAATTCAGTTAAACTGAACTAACTTTGTCGCTTGCTTGTAACATGTTGGCACCGAACGCATAGAAACACCCAATTTCTATTGTTGTAGTCTGACTGTTACATTATTAAGAATCTGCTGCCTAGCAATGGAAACGTGTTTACCGAGCCGTTGCCCAGAAAGAGACACTGTTTTGCAGTCACCGCTTAGCCACAATATAAATAAACATAGATCTATTCTTATAAGGATTGTAAATGAATATAACTGATTCATTCCTAAGTTAATTGAAACTGCTTGTCAGTTGAGGCTGTAACCTTCCTTCTCTGTGATTGCGCTGTAATTTTCCCAACACCAATCAGAAATTTAACCGTCGATGGCTCAGTGCGAAAGCACTTACCTAGGTTCGTAGACAGAGAACCGACGGAATTCACGGATACGAATGACGTAGAAAAGAAGGCGTCTTGAGTGACAGACTTGACGTGGACGACCGGCGCCGTTGTGGCCACGCTCAGGTCCGCAGCCGTGGCATTGAAGACTAAACGGATGCCAAGTTGGCGGAGGAAGGGCGTGACGTCAATGGCGCTGCTGACGATGGTGAGTTGCGGTAGAGAGACAGTGGTATCAGAGCGGGGCAGCCACTCCTGCACCAGCTGCTGCAGAGACACTCCTGGCAGCTTCACCAGAAGTTCATCCAGGTTATCAGCCGAGTCAGGCACCACCAGTAGCAAGGTCACCATGCCCACCTTAAGAAGATCAGGAAGTTCTGACTAGCTGGACGACTATCGGACTTTCAAACAGGATTATGCTTCATGTTCGAGTATTTAGAGGACCGTTATCGCAATGTCCTGTCTGTATTCAAGAAACATATTTGCCATTTCTCAGCAAAAAGAATGGGAGACTTTGGTTCAGAATGAAGAACACCCCTCATGTCACCCTGACACCACGAAGTGCCAGGAATAAACGCTGCTCTTCTACCGTTCTGATTCTGCCTTCATCTCGTGAGAGCCCACAGACATGACCATTAAGCTGGCGAATTGTTCTTTTATCTGAGAAATTAAGTCAGAGTCAGATGTAAGTCCGACAATCCAACCATTAGGAACCAGAGCTGGGTCACGGAGCTTCTTCATGTCGACACTGCATAAGAACGAGTATGAGACGACAAAAACAATACCACACAAGATCATATGCAATGACGGTACATATTTATGAGGTTTAATATAATATTAATTTTAATGTTTTATTGAAATTTATTATCTCGATTTTAAATTATTTTTACTTATGTGAATCGTAAAGTTTGTTCTTCATATTTAAACACCCTGAGGATGGTCTCATGAGACTGAAACATGTCAGGGTATTAACGACACGATTAATAAACCAAATATACTTAGCTGATTTACACCTAACTCTGGTATGAATAGTAAAAGATAAAGTTGCTCCTGTGCTTGATTATTTAAGCAACCCGCCATGAAGGCATATGGGGAAGTAGAAGTATAGCTTCACCAATCTTGACCTCGGCATTATAAGGAAGTGAGCGGTCAGCTTCATGCCCTGGTCGCTTTATACCCGACGAAAGAGTCCCCGGTACCCACTGAGTATGAGACTTTGGGTGCCCCAGGGCTGGCCTGGACCTTGTGGAGAAAATAAAAATCTTGCCCTCGCCGTCCGGCCGTCCAACCCGTAGACCGTCACGATACCGACTGATTTATCCCGACACCGCTAGCTCAGATAACATGTCAGAAAAGAGAACCGTATCAAAATACTGTTAAATAACGCCGTGTAGCTCATTGAAATTCAACTGACGTTTCGGAGTAGGGTCTGCTTGCTACCTGCTTCCACGCTGGTTTCTTTCTTGGCTTATTCTTCGACCCTGAAGATGGAGGTGAGATGTTCCCCCGAAACGTGGGATGAATTTCAACGGACTACACGCCGTTATATCGCAGAAGATGGTACTCTTCGTAACCGCCGCTGTGAGAACCTCATAACCTCATATCCTCTGTATGAAAATTTAAATTTCGTTAATAAGGTCTAAATTTTGTGACGATGGTGCATTAATACAAATATTACGTTCCTGAACATTATCGATCGTCCTGTTTCTATTTAAAACACAACGTTTCGGGGACTGGATTCTGTCTCCGGCTTCAGGTAAAACCCACTCAGTTGGGCCCAATCGATAGAGCTGGTCCCTATTTCCGGCCACAAGCACCTACACAAGACAGGATATATAAACCAAGCACAGCATAAACCATCTGCGAGAGCTAAGACAAACATTAAAAATATTTAAAAACTCCACACGGACGAGGCGTAGCACTATCTAGCTCTATGAATTGGGCCCAAGTGAGTAGGTTTCACCTGAAGACGGAGGCAGGATCCAGTCTCCAAAATAAATAAATAAATGTTTTAAATAAATAAAGGGATGATGGATAATAACCAGAAACATAATATTTTTATTAATTATTGTTAGGTTTCGTCCTTTTATCCCATTATGTATTTTCAAGCAATAATTGGCCCAATTAAAAAAAATAACGGCGACTTACTTCCAAGGGGATTTCCACGGCATGGGCATTCAGCTGGGAAATTCTTCCCGCGCGGAACTCGCCAACCTGCGGCACCATTGGCACGCGCACAGTGTCTGTGGGTGTGCGCTGGAACGGAGCTGACGCCTCATGCGACAGAAAGGAGAAAGCAGCCAGTCGATCATAGTCCTTCCAGTGGCTCATTACTCCAGAATCGCTCCTCAGTTCGAGACTTATCGCAGCAGGACGTGCCCCGGCAGCATCCGCAGGCGTCTTTACTGCATTGCAATAGGCATTAAGACTATAGCAGGACTCAAGCCTTGTCTCAACTTAGATACAGCTGGTCTCCACAGAAATCATTGGTTAAAGCAGAAACATTAATTCTTCCGAAGATTTCTGTCTTCTGAGATGTGACACCGTGTAGTCTGGTGGATAACATGTGCTAGACGGTGTCACATTCCAGAAAACAGCGATGTTCAAGGTAACCGCCATAAGAACGGCAGACCTCAGTTAATTCTTCTTAACGCTTCCTGGAAGGGATGAGTTTACCTGGAAGACTCAGGTGTATAGATTAGTATCAAAATATATCTTCAAGAAACAGATTTTGAGAGTATGAAATGAACTTAACTGGTTTAGAACAGGCTCCAAAAGTGGGGCCCTTGTAAAGACGGCAATAAAACATTAAGTTCCATGAAAAGCACGGATTTTCTTAACAAGCTGAGAATTACCTTCCTTTCCACAAAAGTGCTATGCTCCATGTAGTTAGCTAAAAATAATTTACCTGAGATGTTGTCCAATTTCGAGGAATGCGTGATGTTCGCACGGTAGTACTTGTTCAAGATGGCTCTGTAAGATGGTAACAAAGGCTGCGAACTTGCCATCAGCGCCATGTTGAAAGAACCAGCCGCTTCCTGGTTTTCTGCAGCTGCCTAAATATGCATCAGTGTTTCAGTGCTACAGAGGCTACTCATTCACTTTCATAAAATACTTCCTACCCTCTAAACAAATTCTAGGAAAATGTAGTCATCAAAATGTCACTTCATTTGGTTACACTCATCAAACCCGTCATAACATACAAAATATTTATTCTCGTGAGCTACAACTTGGATTTTACTGGCCTTTTTATGAAAGTAATATTGTTCGGTTTCGCTAAAACCAACTCCCTTACACTGAACCCAACACGAGACGAAGCCCCAAGCTTAAATACGGAGAAAGAGGCCATGTGCTTCGCGGATCCTGACAGTTCTAACCCCCCTGGAGTCCTTACACGCTATTTGTAAAAGTAAAAAGGCAACGGTCATCCAAATAAATTAATGTATATTCGGCTCTGTAACCGATTTGTTCAGCAGATCTAGGTAATGGGCACAGTTATCCCATTTTCGATTCCCCCCTTCGGAAGGCGTAGGTTGAAATTTTGGCGTGACACCCCTCTCTCAAGGTACCTCGTGATCTGCAAGGTATATAGATATATTTTTTAATTTTCCACATCTTCCTCCCACATCCCTGTAATCTATGTTTTGTAAACATAATATGTAGAGAGGTCTATCTGGTCAGCTCGCTGGTTAGTCGGTCAGTTCAATCGTTACCTGATGCTTAAATAGAGTAGGAAAGAAGAGAAAAATACAGGATGGGGCGTAGAGACTTCCTTTTTTTGAAGGCGAATAAAATAAAAATTATTGCTGATAGACAAAATTTATGTCTAGCTAATGAAAGAACATACTTTAAAGTTTAAATCATGTAGTTCTAAACAAAATATCTTGAAGGTGGTGGCCACCGTTCTCTATGCACTGATGCAACCGTTTTCTGAAGTTCCCCTCTGCACGTTCCAACATGTGCACCGGAATTTGGGCTACTTCCTGCCGAATAACATTCTTCAGCTGAAGAAGGCTTGTGGGGCGATGTTTAAAAACCTCTGCCTTGAGGTATCCCCATAAAAAAATCACAGGGCGTTAGATCAGGTGAGTGCGCTGCCCATGGGATGTCACCTCGAAGCGAAATGAGCCGTCCGGGGAAATTTGCCCTCAAAACTGT